CCCCCCCCGATTTACTCAGATATTCCTTTCTTAAAAGCAAAAACTTTTTTTTTTCATCTGGACTCTGATTTTTCTCACATGTCTTTGTTAGGTTTTCTTTTATACAGAACAAAGTAAAATCGTAAGACTCGATTGTCAGGTGGAAAAGCTGACTTTTCTCTTTGTAGCAAATTTCGAGAAACTCAGTGAAAGGGAAACCAAAAAAAATGATTGAACAAGATTCGACGAAGTCCTATGGTTAACCCAGCGTCCGTGAGGTTGAGTACGACAAATCTAAATTTCTCCTTACGTTCCGTGTTAAATTCTTCCACCTAACGTACTCCGGGTTAAAATTTGTACGGATTGCTTGAGAATTTTTACACGTGTCTATATAATTGTAGTATACCTATATAGGATGCCGTAAAAGGGTCTGTAACACAGAATAAAGACTGATGTAGGTGAAACTATATTGCTTTATGCTTATCTGGTTTCCAAGTATCCACCTACGTCGTTACTTCTGGTTACGTTTTCCCATCCCAGAGAATGGAAAAATAGTGGCACTCAGATGCAGCCAGTGACTGCGAGTGGCCACTTCCAACGTAGTCGCAAGCCTCGAGTCGAGCTCTCTCCGTTGAAACCCCGAAGCTGCAAGAGAGCGCATCCACTTCCGTAACTCTTTGAAGACGAAAGGCAGGATGGCCATCGTTTCTCGAGGAGTAAACAAAAGATAGTATATTGCCGATATAACGTGCATCCAGAGAGATGGTATACAAGATGCATTTTTCATCTGGGAAACTCGGGGCATATTTGCCTTTTACTGTGTTTCCCGATCCCACAAAGTGCCTTTAGGAATCGCCACGCTGGATAAGGGGTTTCCTTTTACATCCATTCGAGTGGAAATCTCATAGTTTTCTTTTCTAGAGCGTTCATATTGTTTTTCTCTATTTTATTTCGAGAAAACTTACTCTGATATCCCTGTGATATTTAAATTTTTTATGAAAATCCTTGTAAGCCAAAAAAGCACCGTCAACCTTTGCGAAATGATAAACGGGATAACTCGTATTCTCTAATACCGGGTTGGTCATTTGTTCGTCATGACAACCTGTGAATTGGTCAACGACATTTTGGTAGTCTAGATGATGCCGGATATTCTGTTGACGAGGGTGAAATGGTAACGTGGAGGGGC